CGCGCCTGGGATCCGAACCCGGGCCACCAGCAGCGGAGCGCGCGCACTTAACCGCTAAGCCACCGGGCCGGCCCTCTCACCCGGTCTTACAGAGCCTTCCTCCACACCGGCTGCCAGAATAATCTCTCTAAACCAGCCTGACCACGTCTCTTCCCTTCTTAAAATTTACTATTTTCAGGACCGAGTGTAAATTACTCAGCTTGTCACTCATCCAACAAATATTGGGGTGGGGTGGGGGGTACTTACTATAAGCCCAAGCGTTCTTATAGGCACAAAGATCCAGCAGTGAACCAAACATAGCAAAAGCTCTGCCCACACGGAGCTTACATTCTATGGGCCCTTCACAGTCGGGACCCCAGCGTCCCTTTACAGCCTCGTCGTCCCAATTCCCAATTTGGGACGCACGGCGCAATCTCGTCTCCTCACCTGCCAAGCCTTCCCACACTCCCCACGATCGAGAGACTAGTCCTCTCCTCTCAGATCCCTCCATTGCCACCGCAGCGCCTACTACAAAAACCTAGGCATCCCCTGCAAATTGAGGCTCCTCTTCTCGCCAATTGAAGCCCCGCTGCCCCTCCCCTGCCTCTCGGGGATTGTGAGCTAAGAGCCCCGGGTGAGAGGCTTGGGACCGCGGATCCCCCTCGCCTGGGCTGGCCGCCTCCACCTCACAGGAAGCGGGGAAGGAGTGCGACACCTACGCCATCCAGGAATGTCTGGTCCCCAGGTGAGCATCCGCGGCGGTGCAGGTCCTTCCCCAGGGTGCTGCCAGCGACCAGGCCCCTGGGGGAGGAGCTGCCCCGAAGTGTGGGCGCCCAGCCCCGGCTCCGTCTCTTCCATCTTTTCGCTGGGGTGGCGTCGTCGTCGTCCAGCGAGGCCTGGCCAGGACACGGGACAGCGGGCGGGGAGGGGAACGCTGGTTCTCCAGTTCTGACGGACCAGCCTCCGGAAGAGGCCGGCTCCCTGGGGGTGATGTTGACCTCCAGGGCAGAGGGGAGGGGGCCGTCTCCGACTAGAGTGACTGTGCCCTGTGTCTCACCGCCTGCTGGAGGCCTCCACTCGGAGCACCCTCACTCCAGTGCTGTGCCCGGCTTTCCGGGCGAGGAACCGGCACCGCCATTCATTTCCTTTCCTGAGAAACCTCCGGGTCATACTCGACTCTCCCCTCTCCTTCCGCAAACAATCCCGGCGTCCCGCCATTTCCGCTCGTTCACATCTCTCTCCTCGCTCACCAGTCTCATGGATGGTTTCCTTTCCTTCAGTTTCTCCCTGTGGGTCACCCCCCACTCCCAACACCCCTTCCTAAACCTCATTGCCTACCCACTGGGCTGCAATTCAAGGTCACATGGGCATGTCACCAGCTGTGGCTTCCCTGCCAACTTGGCCTCCCCTCACTCCCCTCTGTCTCTGGGATCCAGCCTCCTCACTGTTCTTTTGCAACTGCAAATCCCTTTGCCAAGAAGGCCTCCACTTTGTTCATCCTTAGAGACACTCCGTAAATATCACATAGTGAAACCTTCCCCCTCCCCCCACTTAGTCTCCTTTTTCCCTGTGCACCTACAGCAACTGGACATCCCTTTGTCCAACACAACACTTGCCACGCTGCCTTCATTGTCTACACACATCTGCCTCCCTTACTAGACTCCATTCGAGCTTCTTGAGGGTGCAGCCTGGGTCTTGGTCTCTCTGTCCCCAGAACACACAGGCCTGGCACAAAGCTGGCATCAGCAAACATTTATTTATTTATTTATTTTTAAAGATTTTATTTATTTATTTTTCCCCCAAAGCCCCAGTAGATAGTTGTCTGTCACAGCTTGCACACCCTTCTAGTTGCTGTATGTGGGACGTGGCCTCAGCACGGCCGGAGAAGCGGTGCGTCCCTGCGCACCCGGGATCCGAACCCGGGCCGCCAGCAGCGGAGCGCGCGCACTTAACCGCTAAGCCATGGGGCCGGCCCCAGCAAACATTTTTTTTAGTGAGCAAATGGGAGACCATAAGCTTTGGGTAGATGCTACGTGTGTTGAAGGGGCTGGATTGTTGAGAGTTCATTTGAGAAAGATTCTTGGGGGACAAACTGAACGGTCTTTGATGCAGGGGAGAGAAGTGATTTGGTGCAGTGAGAGGACCTCAGGGAAGCGCCAGAGTGACGAACTCTATTAATTTAACGATCATTGAACAATTTCTGTTGTCAGGCCTCACGCTGGGCACAGAGGACCTCGGTCAGCACTCAAGTGGCTTCCCCCGTAGTGGAGGAAGACAAGCTAGGCAGTGCCAATGCAGAGTGCCAAGTGTCACACGGTGAGCATGAGGATATGTGGCAATGCAGAGGAGGAGCACCTCCCAGGCTCGAGGGGGGTGTCAGAATTCCCAAGGAGGACCACTACCCAACCCAAGACCAGAGGGAGGGCCAGAGAAGGGGTCAAGGGGCAATAGAGAGAGGAGGCTGAGAGCTGAGCAGGGCGTCATCATGAAGCGTGTGTATACCAAATGAAGGAATTGTGCTCCACCCCGAGGGCACTGGGGAGCCACTGACAGCTTCCAGGAACCTGGGGAGTGACGTGATCTAGTCCTGCAGGCCACTGCTGTGTAATGCTGCAGCTCTGACTGTCTCTTCTGAGAAGGCTTCTCTGGGCCCCCGGCAGGCTGGACCCCTCTTCTGTGCTCCCGTAGCAGCCTGACCACTTCGCCTCTCCTGTGCAGGGTTGCATATCTCTGCTAGACTGAGCTCCTTGAGAGATGAGACCAGGTCTTCATCTTCTCTGTCCCAAGCACCAGGCACAAAATCTTGCTCATGACCAAATGTTTGCTGAATGAATGGATTGTTCCTCTTTTCTCTGGATTTCTATAGCCCTTACTTTCAGGTCTATATCCTTTTACACCTGAGATCTGTGTGTTGTGCTGAAAATAGCATTTAATTGGGAAAGAGGAGGCCCAATTCAAATCCTGGCTCCACCGTTTACTGAAACAAGTTTCTTAACTATTCTGAAACCTCAGTTGCCCCATCCGTAAGATGAGGTACCACCACGAACATAGTGTGTAAGTCTCCACATGCATGCATGAGTCTTATTTTCCTGGATAGGCTATAATTTCTGTGAGGGCAGGGACCAAGGGTTTTCCTCAGCACCTAGCTGAGTCTGAGCCTATAACAAATACAATGCTCAGTTCTGTTGGTTGGTAGACAGCCCAGTACAGAGGTAAGGACACTCAGAGTGAGGTTGTAAGTCTTGTTCTGCCACTTCTAGAGTAACCTTGAACAAGGTTCTTCCCCTCTGTGAGTCTTCTTTGCCTTACCTGGCAAGTAGGAACATTAACCCTTACCTGGCAGACCTCACAGGGCCAATGGAAACCATAGAGGTGAAAGTGCTTTGTGAATGAAATACATAATATAGTAGATAATTAATCATTAATTAAAGAAAATAGCTGTGCAGTAGTACAGGTGAGGTGTGTCTGGGAATTGGTAAACATGCCCCAGGCCTCTGCTGACCGTCTCTGAGAAGCGGAGATGCCGGGGTGCGGCTCTTCCAGGCAACAGTGGGCTAGGCTGGGACAGAGGTGTTTGGTCTTGCTGGGGTCAGCCCTGAGGCCCAGGAGAGACTGGGAGGGAGAGGTTCCTGGGGAGGGAGTATGCAGCCAGTCCTTTGTCCCCCACTCCCTTCCCTGATTTCTTTGGCTCACATTACTTCCTGTCTTAGGTTCTGAGGGGCTCTGGCCTGATAAGGTCTCAGGAGTCCTGATGGCTTTGGCGGTGTAGCTGCTGAGACCTGTTGGTGAATGAGGCTCGCCTGTGGGAGTGGAGGGCCCCACAGTGCAGCCCTGCTAAACTCCAGTCCCAAATGTCCAGCCTCCTCCCAGCCTCTGACATCTCGGTGGCAGGATTTATGGGAAAGCACCATGATTTTTCTTAACTGGTGCCCAGATCGAAAGGGCCTGGGGCTGTGCCGAGGGGCCGAGGGGAGGCAGGGTCTCAGCTTCCTGGCCTCTAAAGTGAGTGAGGCTTGAAAGAGGAGACAGACACGGAAACACCTTGGAGCTTGTCTGTTCTACTCAAGTGCAGGATTCCTGTTTGTGGGTAGCGTGTTTGTACCAGCCAGTGGGGCTTCGCTGTCTCAGAGAGCACTGGGGCTCTTTCTCCGAAAGAAACTTAGTTTCACAAGCAGTTGTTGTGTGAGGAGTGAGCATGTTTGGTCTTCGAGTAAAAGCAGAGACAGGCAGGCTGTGAAAATGGGCAGGGCCAGAGAGAGGCTGGGAGGAGGGGGGGGCCCCGGCAGGGCCTGCCCCCACCTGGGGAGGCTGAAGCTGCCAGCAGGGCTAGCCAACTGAGCTCCCCATGCCCTATCCCACAAACTTCCTCCTGAAATCTATGCCCCAAGCAGAAGCAGCAACAGACTTAGAATCAAACAGGTGGGATTAGGTTCTACTCACCTAGTATGTGACTTTGAGCCAGTCACTCCATTTCTCTGGACTTGTGTCCTCCTTCATTAAATGGGGAGAACCATAGCGCCATCTCCCGGGCCGTCAGGATCAGAAGAGAGGATATAGTGAAAAGTGCCTTGTGAACTATTTCGTGCTGTCCATATTCATTTTGTGTTTCTCATCTCCTCCCATGTTGGAACTGAGCCTGCTCTTCTGGTCGGGGCCTGTCAGAAGCAGGAGCTGGGGGCACTTCAGCCGCAGTCCTGTCCTTCTGGGAAAGTGAGTGTGGCCTGCAGGACAGAGGCATCTGAGTCTGCAGCAGGTCCCTTTTGTGCTTCCTTCCCCTCAGGTAGCCTCTCTCTCTCTGGGCCACTCCTGGGATGAGGGGGTTACCCCTTCCCAGTGTTTTTTATTCCTGCATATTAAAAGTATTATTTAATGATTATTAAAAGTATTATTTAATATACTCCAAAGTATTAGAAGTAGCTTTGTAATTTAAAAAATGGGGGGCTCATCTCTGACAAAGGGCTCTATGACAAAAGGCTCATCTCTCAGATGGGGGACGGTCCATACTCCCTGTACCCTGGGCCATGGAGGTGCCAGGAGGGTCAACATATGGGCTGGAGGGAGGTCTGTGCTCTAGGGCAAAGAGTGCAGTCAGAGAGGGGATGGAAACCATGGTTGTGCTGGTTCACTTGCTTTGCTATTGAGCTTTCCCAAGATACTCACCCTCAGCACCTTTGTGCTTTACCTGCTGGGTCTCCTCCATCTACCTCCTGTCTCCCCATTCCAGCCAGTGAAACAGTGTTGGAAGAGTGCATTTGTGGGATGAGGTCTGGGGGAGCAGGAGCTACCTGGTTGCTGGAAGCCTCTTTTGGGACTCTTTGACCTTGGGAATCCCTTGCCCCTCTCCCCTGGGCCCCAGGTCAGCACACCAGTTTCTTCCTGACTGACAACAAGAGCCACCCCCAGATGAGTGAATTTTCCTGGAAGGATGTTACCAGTGCCTTGTCCCTGGCAAACATGATCCTGGGGCTCTTCTCCATCTTCTGCAGCTTCTGCAAGTATGTCTGGGCAGCAAGAGGTGGAGCCAACTGCATGAGGGAAGCAGGGAGGAGTCTAGAGAGCCAGGCACTGAGGCATAGGGATCAACTGGGGGCAGGAGAAAGTGCAGTGGTCGGGAGTCAAGGGACCAAGATCCTAGCCTCAGTTCTACCACCAGCCTGATATGTGACCTTGGCTAGGTCACATCTCTGAGCCTCAGTTTCTCCACCTTTAAAACAAGGAGCTTGCACTATGATCTCCATAGTTCTTTCCAGCTATGGCAATCTAGAGTAGTTTTTATGAGAAAATCAAGAGATCCTATTCTGGGAGTCTTTACCCAATCTTTAGGTAGGCAGGCTACTGTTCAGATTTTCTGGTTCTTAAATTAGAACATATGATCTGGTGGAATATTTGCAATTAGCACTGGAAAACCTGAGATGTATATATGGGCTCCCAAAAAGTTGTAAGCAAATTATATTTCTATAAATTGAATCATATTTCAATGCCTTGGCAAATCAGCTCTTTAAAGGTAGATCTTTTATAATGCAAATAACATCCTCCTAATCTGTTTGATTCTCTATCACCATCAGCAAGTGACTTCTCTGGATCTGTTTCCATCCATAAAATAAGATGATTTTACCTGATGATGTTTAAGTGCCCTTCCAGTTTGAAAATTTAATGATTCTCTAAGTCTGGGTTTTTGGCATCTCATTAAGTGGGGTGTACCTGCAGCAGGAAATCTCTATCTTCCTAGTTCAGCCTAATCTTCTAGGAGTGTAGTTTTTAGGGTGGGCCCAGTTCCCTTTAGACACATAGTATGGATCTAAACAAAGGAAACACTGAGTTGGTTTGGGGACAGCTGAGGTCTGGGGTGAGGCTCTCTGTTTCCTTCTGCTGAGTCACCTAAGGGTTGCAATCCAAGTGTAGACTTGGGAATGGCCTTCTAGGGCAGGTTTGCCTGAGACTGTGGTGGCTGCTTTCAGAGGGGTCTGGGAGCATGTGCTGGACAGAAGGATAGAATCCTTGAATGTAGAGTCTGAAAGAGATCTTGGATATCATTTAGAGCATCAAAATACATAAGAAAATCTGATAGAACTGCAAGGAGAAACTGACAAATCCACTATTATAGTTGGAGATTTCAACACCCCTCTATCAGTAATTGACAGATCCAGCAGGCAGAAAATCAGTAAGGATATAGTTGAACTGAACAGCACCATCAATCAACTGGATCTAATTGATATTTATAGAATACTTTATCCAACAACACCAGAATACACATTCTTCTCAAGCTCACCAAGATAGACAACATTCTGGGCTATCAGACACACTTCAACAAATTTAAAAGAATAGAAATCATACACAGTGTGCTGTCAGACCACATGGAATTAAACTAGAAATGAATAACAGGAAGATAGCTGGAAAATCCAAAATACATGGAAGTTAAACAATACACTTCTAAATAATACATGGATAAAAGAAGTTGTCTCAAGACATTAAAAGTACGTTGAACTAAAAGAAAATGAAAATACAACTTATCAAAATTTGTGATATGCAGTGAAAATAGTATTTAGAAGGAAATTTATAGCATTGAATGCATACTTTAGAAAAGGAATCTGCTCTGCAAAAGACAACATCAAGAGAGTTAGAAGATAAGCCACAGACTGGGAGAAAATATTTGCAAAAGATACATCTGATAAAGGACTATAATTAAAAATATATAAAGCTTTAAATTCAATAATAAGAAAACAAACAACCCAATTAAAAATGGGCCAAAGACCTTAAAAGACACCTCACCAAAGAAGATATACAGATGGCAAATAAGCATATGAAAAGACACTCAACATCATATGTCATCAGGGAAATGCAAATTAAAATAATAATGAGATACCACTACACACCTATTAGAATAGCCAGATTCCAGAACATGACAACACGAATTCACGTTGAGGTTGTGGAGCAACAGGAACTCTCATTCACTGCTGGTGGGAATGTATAATGGTACAACCACTTTGGAAGACAGTTTGGTAATTTCTTACAAAACTAAACATACTCTTAACATATGATTCAGCAATCACACTGCTTGGTGTTTATCCAAATGAATTGAAAACTAAGTCCACACAAAAACCTGCACTTGAATGTTTGTAATGTTTTATTCATAATTGCCCAAACTTGGAAGCAACCAAGATGTCCTTCAGTAGGTGAATGGATAAATAAACTGTAGTACATCCAGACAATGGGATATCACTCAGTGCTAAAAAGAAATGAGCTATCAAGCCATGAAAAGACATGGAGGAGCCTTAAATACACATTACTAAGTGAAAGAAGCCAAAAAAAGGCTACATACTAAATGATTCCAACTATATGACATTAGGGAAAAGGCAAAAATATGGAGACAGTAAAAAGATTAGTGGTTGCCAAGGGAGGGTGGGGGGAAGCGAATAGGCAGAGCACAGAGGATTTTTAGAGCAGTGAAAATACTCTGTGTGATATTTTAGTGAGGGATATATGTCACTAGACATTTGTCCAAACTCATAGAATATATAAGAGTGAACTCTAAAGTAAACTATGGACTTGCGGTGACTATGATGTGTCAGTGCAGGTTCATCCTCAGTATGTACAAAGAACCAGAATGTACCACTCTGATGAGTAATGTTGATAATGAGGGAGGCTGTGCATATGTGGGAGCAGGGAGTATATGGGAAATCTCTGTACCTTCCTCTCAATTTTGTTGTAAACCTAAAACTTCTCTAAAAAATAAAGTCTTAAAGAAAATTTAAAAGAAGGAAGATCTAAAATCAATGTTAGTTTCCACCTTAGGAAACTAGAAAAAGAAGAACAAATTAAATCCAAAGTAAGCAGAAGAAAAGAAATAATAAAAATGAGATCAGCCATTAATGAAATTGGAAACAAGAAATCAGTAGAGAAAATCAATGAAAGCAAAAGCTGATTCTTTGAAAAGATCAATAAATTGATAAGCCTCTAGCCAGCCTAACCAAGAAAAAGGGAGAGAAGACACAAATCACCAATATCAGAAATGAAAGAAGAGCCATCACTACTGATCCCATGGACATTGAAAGTATAATAAAAGACTATTATGAACAACTCTATACCCACAAATTTGATAACCTAAGTGAAATGGACCAATTCCTTTAAAGACATAAGCTACCAAAACTCACACTAGGAGAAATAGATCATCTGAATAGGTCTATAGCTATTAAAGAAATCATTTGGCACAAATCCCTCATTTTACAATGGAAGAAGAGAGGCCTAAAGAAGGACTGAGTTATCTGATAATTCAGAGTGAGACAGTTGCAGGGTCTGGACTAGAACCTAGGACCCCTGTGCCATCAAATATGCCTGTACTTTAGAGTTGGAAGGGACCTTGGAGATCACTTAGGGGGTTCAGGGCACCCCTTTAAAACTATGGGTTGAGAGTATGGAAGGGATGTAGGTATGTGTGAGGGAGGGTGTATGTACATGTGTGTGTATGTGTGTGTGTGTGGTGCATAAAGCTGTGTATATTAGAATGGATGTGAATGTGGGGAACTTGCAGGAGTGTGTGTGTGCAAGTGTAGGAAGTGTATTGGGAGTGTGTGGAGTGGTTGTCCAGTGGAGACTATGAACGAGCTGCCCTGTTTGGACCTGCTGGCCTGCACTTTAGGAAGTCCCACTGTGCTTCCTGGATGCTTCTGATGAGCTTCCTATTAGACACGGCAGTCAGGGCAGTGACCAGACACCTCAACATCTGCTCCAAATCAGGTGAGTCCAGGCCTCAGACCCGTTATCCCTGACCCCAGGAGCATCCATCTCAGGTTCCCTCCTCCATCCTCTAACATCCACAGGCCTTCATCAGTCACCACTCCTGTTCACATCTCTCCGAGTACAGTAGGAGCAGCCCTAGAGCAGGAGTTTGGGAGTCCCACAGTTTAGATCTAGCTCCTCTGCTGGCTCACTTATTGATCTTTGGCCATCCTTGTCCTTGCTTTCAGCATCCATATCTGCCCTGCCTCCCTGTTCAGGGCTGGTCCAGGAATCGGAAGTGGGAGTGGTGGCTGTGGTGGGGGGAAATGAAAAATTACCCCAAGCAGAGCAGCTGGTTTAAAATACAATAAAATATTTCTACGTAAGATTTTGCTTGAAAAAGGGGTTCCATAGCTTATCAATTTGTATCCAGTTGTAGTCCAACCCTTGCCTGGTAAAGGATGGGAACACTAAGACCTGGACAGGGAAAGACTCGCCTCTGGCCACATGGTCAGTCTGAGGCAGAGACAGGAGGGGACCCCAGACCACCCCAGGAAGAGCAGCTATTGCTCTCTGAAACCTCAGGACCCTGTTTGTCACCACTCCAGCTCCCTCCCAGAGGGGACTAAGGTACAAGACATGTGAGTGTAAGTTGTTCTAACTTTGGCCTTCTGGAGCAGGAGCTGAGCTGAATGACTTTGCTGTCTTCACCACCTTTGGCCTGGCCTCAGCCCTGCTCCTAGGCGTGAATGGGGCTCTGAACGGGTTCCTGGCCATCATCTATGTGTTAGCTGCTTCTTTCCGCCTGTGTTTTTATTCAACTGGTGAGTGGAACCCAGGTTGCCTTGTGGCTGAGGGAAGGGAACCACAGAGCGGAGGAGCTGTCGGTTGCTGGAAGCCTGGGGTGCAGTAGTTGCCTCCTCTCCTTCCCTTAACGGATTCCTCTTCCTGCCTTCTCCCTGGCCCAGGCACACTGGAGGCTGCAGGATGCATTGGCAGAGCCCTGGTCTGGGGGACGGGGGGCCTTGGTTTGGACCAGCTGTGCCTTTTTCTCACTGTGCCCTTTGGATGGAGCACATAGATTCACAGACTCGAGAACTAGAGGTCATATCCAGTTTCCCAGAACAGGTGGAGTAACAGCTCTGGCAAGAGCAGATCTCTTGCCTGCACACAAGGCAGTGCAGATGCAGACGAGAACATCTCAGAGGACCCTTCTACAGAGGCTTCCTAGGGCCAGGGCACACATCTGGTCCTAGCTGCCTGCTTTACCCTGGGGATCCAATGCAAAACCCACAAAGTATCTCTGTGAATAACTGAATGCTTTACAGCCTGCCACTGCCCGGGCAATTAGGGCTGTTTGGAGTGTGGGGCGGGGAAGACCCAAAAAGAGAGGGGCTTGCTTCACGTATATTCCTTGAGAACAGTGGGAAGCAGCTAATTCCCATTTTTTCTTCCCCTGGCAGGCGTTCCCTCTGCATACAAGGGACTACCTTGCCCCTATGCTTCCTGTGTTTTGGCCTCCACCTCCCTTCTGACCAAAGGCAACACGTTCATCCTCTCTTGCATGGCCTCACTCATGATTCTATTCATGATGGACCAAAGCCACTACCCACATGACGAAATCCTGGAGTCTGAGAACTGGAAAAAAATGGTTTATCTGGGAGGTGAGTGAAAGTACTGCTCTCAAATGTCACTAGTGGTCGTGTGTGGTCACTGCTGCTCGTGGCCACCCTGCACCTCTCCCAGCACTCCCCAGCTCCCTTACCCTGATTTATTTCTCTCCACAGAATTTATCATCATCTGACATATGTTTACTTGTTTATTGTCTATAACACTAAAGCTGCCCCCAGTAGAGGACTGTCTTTTATTCATGCTATAATCCCCAGTACCTAGAATTGTGCCAATCACATAGTAGATGCTCAATAAATATTTGTTGAATATTGTTGAGTTCAATAGGAATTTAGGAAACATCTACCATATGCCAAGTACTGGGAATCAAATTAGTAAACTATACAAACACTTCCTGCCTTGGGATTTACAGTCTGATAGGGGAGACAGACACAAAACAAATAATGGCAGAAATAACTGGAAATGTATAGTTTTGATGTGTTGTGAAATACAAGGTGCTCTGAGAGGGTGTCAGAGGGTGACCTAATTTTTTAGACTGGGATGACCTGAAGGGTGGGAAAAGATCCTTAAGGAGGTGACATTTAAATGAAACCTGGGTGAGAGTGGTCAAAAGGTAAAAACTCCAGTTATAAGATAAATAAGTTCTGGGGATGTAAGGTACAGCATGGTGACTACAGTTAACAATACCATATTGTATATTTGAAAGTTGCTAGGAGAGCAGATCTTAAAAGTTCTCATCACCAGAAAAAAAATTTGTAACTATGTGAGATGATTGATGTTAACCAAACTTATTGTGGTAATCATGTTGTAATATGTACATATATCAAATCATTATGGTCTATATCTTGGACTAATACAATGTTATATGTCGATTACATCAATAAAATTGGAAAAAATTTGAAAAATGAAACGTGCAGGATGATTGACCAGGTGGGTAGGACAAGTGGTTCAGAAGAGGAAACAGTATTTTGTGGAGGCTTCGAGGCAAGAAAGTGCTGGATGCAATAGTGTAGCAGTGTGGCTGGAACTTGCTGAGAGAGGGCTAGTGACACTGAAGCCAGTGGGCACACTGCAGGATTTGGGATTTGATCCTAAAGGCAAATGAAAAGCCTCTGAAGGGATTTCTGGGCAACAGTTTTAAATGAGCACTTTGACTGTAATGTAGGGAATAGATTGTAGGAGACTGAGAATTGAAGTAAGAAAACCAACTTTTTCTCAGATGAGAGGTGATGGTGGTGGTGGAAAACAAGAGATTTGAGATAAATACTGGAAATAGAATCGATATCGAGGAAGCAGGTCTGGGGCTAAAGCAACTGAGTGATGGGTTCCAGTCCCTGAGGTCCTGGTCACACCTGGTCCTGGTCTCGTAAACAAGACGAACATCTGTGGGGATGCTCAGTTTCTTCCTTTATTCCCTTGTTTGGTCCACTCTGGTTTGTAGGGTCCAGCCTGACCTTCCCCTTTAGGTTCAACATCAGCACCAACAACCCCGTCCAAGTTATAGGCACTGGCTTCTCCTGTGCCCCAGGTGGCAGAGGCAGAAGAGTGGTGAGAAGAGTCTGGGTTTGAAGCCAAACAGACCTGAGGTCAAGTTCTAACTCCAGCACGTATTAGTTGCATGAACTTGGGCGCATTGCCTTGCTGTTCTGAGGTCAGTTTTCTTCATCTATACAATGAAGCCAATAATCCCTGCCTTGCAGAATTCCTAAGATTAAATGAGATAATGTAGATAAATCCTCTGGCACAGAGGTGTCCTGTAAATGGAAATTTCTAGCCTCCTCCTTCTCTCCACCTCCCCTTCTATCTCAGAGTAACAGTATTTCCCATAATGTTCTTTGCTCCTGTAGACACCACTGATCCTCTCTTCTCGAAATAAACCAAACATTTGGCCTTAGCCTTCCTCAGATTGCCTTTGCTGTGTGAGTAGAGGAGGAAACTGCACTTCACAGATTTTGACACCAGTTAATACCAGAGCCCTACTGGACAGATTTCAAAATGGCTCCTGTGGATATTACTCTTACCTGGAGTGCAGCCAATCACCTTTCTAGACTGAGGTCCTGTTTCCCCCACAGAGCTCTGTACCTCTGAGAAGCTGGCCTATGGCTACTGAGACCTTATGTCTCAAGTTTTCCAGGACAACTCTGGTTTAAAATATTGTCTCATTGTCTCAACAGATCAATGACTGTTCTCGAAATGTAGTATTCCAAAGTTCCAATACATCTCTGTAACTGCTTCTTACCCCTAGAGGTGGTCTTCTGTCAGACCATATGTTCTGATGCTCTTGAGGAATACATGGTGGTTATTCCCGTGGCGATGCTGTTGGCCCATACTCTTCTGCCCTCTTTTTGAGCTCTCTGAGGCAGTGTAACTGTCTAGTTTTGAAGAGTCAGGCAGACATGGGTTTGAATCAGGTTATATCCCTCTGTTTCCTCATCTGAAAAATAGGCTTAATTCTAAATCACAGAATTATTGTGAAATGTAAATGAAATAAATTTTGTAACATACTTAGCAGAATGTCTAGTGCAAAGTAGATATTCCACAAGTGTTGGTGCCCTTTTGCCTCTTGGTGGTGAATCTGAGATTCAAATTGTGTTGGGGGTCCCCCAAGACCACCCCCAGTTTCCATGATTCTCCAGGAGGACTCACAGGACTCTGCATAGAGTTGTACTCAGGACTAAGATTTATTACAGCAAAAGGAAACCAAGTAAAAATCAGCAAGGGAAGGTGAAAGAGGCAAAGTGTGGAGAGGACCAGGCACCAGCTACCAAGGGTCCTCTCCCAGTGGAGTCACACATGACACACTTAATGGCTCTAGCACTGAATTGTGACAACACATGTGAAGTTTTGTCTACCCAGAACCTCTTTAGAGACTCAGTGCCCCAAGTGTTTATAGGGACTGGACACATAGGTGCCCTCTGCCTAGCATGTACCAAAGTCCCAGACTTCCACAGAAGGAAATCAGTGTTCAACATAAACCACCTTGCTTGTACAAACAGTCCAGGCACAGTGAGCCACTCCTACAGTTAGGGAAAGTTTTATATTGTTGTAGGGAACTGTTTACTATTCAAGTTTCCAGACACCAGCTAAGGGCCAAGCTTGCAAGCAGGCCTTTCTTAGGATAGCAGTCTCAGACCTGCTATGTTGACTCTTCTCTGCATACGTATAATATTGCATTGGCCACTATCACATGTTAAATTTCAAACAGTTAGGAATATATATATATTTTCTAACAGGAGATCTGGGCAACTCATATTTATTCTTGGCTAAGACTGAGTTCTGATCTGAATTTTACAAAATGGAACCTGAGATTACATTAGATTATAATTGTCTAGTTACATGTAGACAAAACTTAAAGGCAGGGCTCATGTCTCATTGGTTTTTGTTTCTTAGGCACTATGAATAAAAACTGAAGGATGGAAGGATGGAGACAGGAGAACAGAGGGTGGAAAGAGAGCGTAAGAGAGCTTCATAAAAATTGAGTGTTTGCCTTTTTTCTTCTTCCAGGTGTCATCATGCTATTTTTGTCTCCATTTTCGCTAACTGCTTTCTACTGCCTGGTGTGGTCGCTCTCCTACATCTTCTTTCCAGAAGCTCTATGGGGCAAGGCAGTGTGTCTTGGGCTGCAGCACAGAAGAAACTAACCAGCTCTACTAACTCCCACTAGCCTCTGTGGGGTTTGTGCCAGCATGTTGGGCCAAGCCCTGCTGTATCCTCACTGAATCTTTCCTTGTCCCTATGTTGTGCATGTGCAAGATACATATTGCCTTGAATCAGAGCAACTCACAGTAGGGCCAGCGGCCTTCACTTCTTCCTCTTTATTCAGCGTTCTGAATCCCTTGGGGACAATAGTTGTTTATGTCGTGTAGAACAGAATTTTTTCCAAGCTAAATTTGGGCCAGGTTTGAGTTCCAGCTTTGTTTTCAGCTGAGTGACCTTGTGCACTATGGTTAACCCCTAGGAGAGGGGTGAGACCCTTCAGAATTGGTATAGCCTCCAGCTTGGCCTTGTTTGATGGTAGTTACTCCAGTGGTGGGGTGGGGCTCACTTAAGCATTTCTTAAACTTGCAGTTTCTGGCTCTGTAGATCAGAGCAATCACAGGACAATCATGTTGCCCAGTTTGAATGTGTGTGGGATTTTGTAACTTAAAATTCTGTGTTTCAACAATCAAAGCTTCTGCCTTTTGCTTTGTTTAGAGACTAGACATATTGGCCGCTTGAGGACATCATTTGGTTTCTAGGATCTCTTTGTGTGGTTTTTTTTCTAAGCTTTAAAATACTAAACTCTAGATATTCAAATGCTACTTCATCTTCTAAAATCCAAATCAAATAGAAATAAACAATATTGTATGGAACCCTAAAGTTGCACCTCAAACAGAACTTAGGTCCACTGAAGGCAACAACCCCCCAGCACTGCCTCTGGATTTTCTTCCTCCAGATGGTACACCGAAGGATGGTTGGCTAGTTCCGCCCCTTCCTCAACTAGGGCACCAGAGCACCTCTTACCTCAGCTCTAACTTCTCGAAGATTGCAGAACAACGTATGTGGCAAATACACATTAAATCTAAAATTAGGTTTTAAAGATAAAAATCCAAAGAAGTCCATATTACTATGATTTGGCTTTAAAGGACCAGATAAGTCCTTCCTCTTCCCCACTGTCCTCTATTCATCTCTCTGCTATATCATCTATATTTTTTCATAATTAGATGAATACGTCTGTGTCCCACTAGATTTCACATTCCTTCAATTTATGTTTTTGTATTTCCGCTGGCTGCCACAGAGCCTGGTGCTCAAAAATGTTGACTTTGGAGATGAATTGATTTAGTTGTGCATTCTAGTGAGTTCTATACAAGGTTACTATCATGTAGTGAGAATCTTAGAAATATACATGGGCTCAGACATTTCAGTGTGATGTCCTTCAATGCTCATTTCAGTGATGCTACCCTTCATCAAAGTTGTGTAGGAACTCTAATTCGAGAACTGTCTTCACATAAACTCCGAGAGGCCAGCACCCAGCACATTGCCTAGACATAGTAGGTGCTCAAAACATATTTTTTTTACTCTGACCCACCAAATTTAGTCCAAAAACCTAATATTTAAGATTAGCCAATGATGTCCTATTCTTAAATCACATTCATTGTCAGATTTGGCCTCAAATGACTTCTGGCTGTTTCTAAAACTTGAAACTATGTTCAAAGGAAGGAGATGTAATTCTGAAAGAGGATTTCCACGTCCATTTTGAGTGACAGAAGCAGAGTTAAAATAAATATGTAGACCCCCAAAAGGACTGCTTTGAAAAGGAAAATACCCATTTGGATGTATAAATTGTGCTTTGTTTGTAGCAATACTAACTCATACTTCATTGGCTCAAGCTTTTTGTAGATTGGTGACATGAGGATAGTTACAGGTCAGCTGAGAGCCTCTTGATCTAGCAGAGGGTTGTGTGCTTCCTTCCGACTCTGTTAAAGTAAGGCTACACTCCTACACTGGCTCCAGCATCAAGGGATGCTAGTGCTAACCATTCAACGCCTTTACTTCCTCAGTTAGAAATAAAAATGCAAAAATAGAACAGCTAAAATACAACACGTTCTAAAATAAAAAGTAAATAAATAAATAAATAAAATGTTCTAAAATAGAACAGATCTTAGGAACAAGTAGGAAGGCCAACACTTTAAAAATATACTTCTCAGATGAATAAATGAAGTCAGAGGGGTATAGTTCCTGATTCTAGGCAGCTCTGCTGGCCCTACACTTGGGATGCGGGTGTAGATTTCCGTCCTGGTCCACCTTACCTGACCTGTAGTACTACTCCTTGTGTCTTGTGAGCAGAATCAAGTGACTGAGAATTCTGCTACTTTTCTTCAGCTCTGTGATCTTGAACAAAAGGTTTAACCTCTCTAAGCCTATTTCTATATCTGTAAAATGGAATATTTACTTCTACTCAGGGTTGTTTTGTGGGTTAAATACAATGACACATAAAATAACTAGAATAGTGAATGATGTGTAAAAGCGGTCAGATAAAGGTTAGATCTCTCCTCTCCCCTCTAGCCTTCCTCCCTTCCCATTAGATAACTTTTCATTTAAAATAACAGTAACAGGGGCCGGGCCGGTGGCACAGCAGTTAAGTTTGCGCATCCTGCTTCGGCGGCCCGGGGTTCGCTGGTTCGGATCCCATGCACGGACCTACTCACTGCTCATCAAGCCATGCTGAGGTGGCGTCCCACGCAGAAGAACTAGAAGGACCTACAACTAGGATATACAACTATGTACTGGGGCTTTGAGGAGAAAAAAGAGGAAGATTGGCAACAGATGTTAGCACAGGGCCAATCTTCTTCTTCTTCAAAAACAATTAAAAACACACACACACACACACACACAAGCAGATAAAATAATAGTAACAATAATAGTTAACATGCATTTAGCCCTTCCTCTGTGCCAGGAACTGATCCTTGCACTTTACTATTTCACTTAATCCCCCACACAGCCCAACAAGGGAGATGACCAAAGGCTTAGGTCAGCAGTTCTCAAAGTGTTCCTGAGATCTTTTCAGGGTTAAAACTACTTTCTTAATAATCCCAAAACAGGGACTGACATGTCACCATTGACATTTTGCTAATGGTGCCAAGCAATGGTGGGTAAAGCTGCTGGCACCTTGGTGTGAATCTAGGCAGTGGCACTATATGGTACTGGTTGTCTCGAGGAAAAGCATTGGTCTGAATTTGAGCTGAACTAGCTGCTTTTCTTATGAAACACCAAACGATGACTGACAGACAAACTAGGGTTTTTCAGACGTGGTTTTCTTGAAATAGGAACTGAGTGAGACTGTCACTTCAAGAAAAAACAGTTTTTGTTGCCAAGAATAAAATTTGAGCTTTCAAGTGAAAATTAGAATTTTGGAAAACTTGTATCCACCACCTTGAGCTTGACAGTTTTCCAATACTCAAAGACATTTCTGATGAGATTAGTGGGGATATTAATGAATATGTGTTTTTAATGTTGTATAATAAAACGGGTCGACATTTGGAAGATCTGCATAACTCAGTGAACCAATATTTTCTAAATGACTGATGCACAGTGTTACAAAATCATGCGTGGATAGATGATCCATTCAAAGGGCAAGATTCAAAGACCAATGGATTTTAATGTAATAAAGTACAAAATGTTCATTGATATAACATCAGATTTCAAGTTGTAACTAACCTTTATGAAACTACCACTTGCTGAGTTTTGGTGTCGTATCAAAAAAGAATATTTAGCAGCTATTTAAATGCTCTTCTCTTTTCCAACTACATATCAGTGTGAGGACGGATTTTCCTCATATACTCAACCACAACAACATGAGAATACAGAATGCAGAAGCAGGTATGAGAATCCAGCTGTTTTCCTTTAAGCTGGATATTAAAGAGATTTGCAAATATGTAAAACGATGCCATTCTTCTCATTAAATGATTCTTTATTTTGGAAAATTATTATTTTTTTCAACAAAAACATTATTTATGTTAACCTGTAATAGATTTTTATTATATTTAAATGAATTAATAAATTAAAAAAATTTTTGTTTTCATTTCTAATATGGCAACAGAAGTTTTAACAATATTAATTCATTTAAAAATAATAAAAATCTATTACAGGTTAACATGAATAACAAAACAAAAGCTTTTGGGGCTCTTTAATTTTTAGAGTATAAGGAAGTCCTGAGACCAAAATGTTTGAGACTCACCAATTTAGGGAGATTAGAACTTGCCCAAAGTTCACACAATTAGTACGTAGTGGACCCAAGAGTCAAACCCAGGCAGCCTGACTTCCAATGTCAGTGCTCTCATTATTAATTTTTTGATGCAAGGGTTCAAAAACATCTTCTCTCACCTCTGAGACACTGAGAATGGATTATGGATTGTGGATTATACTTCTAAGAGCCTTAGCATTCAATGCTATTCCAAACATGGATACAAAGGCCTCTGGAACCCTTACCTTGGTATTTCTGAGGTAGGAGAGAAACCACTTTTTTTCTTTAAAATCTGAATAAAAAGATGATCCGTTCCTGTCTTGGTTCAAGCACCCTCTTATATCTCACACTTTTTGTTTTTTTTTTACCACAACCCACAGTAAGAAATAACTTTTACCTCAAATGCAGTATACACATTCATAAGTGTATATAAACCTGAAACAAAGCTTCATGAAACAATATCCTTACCACATGTGATAGTTTTTAATCTATTCTATTATTTCATTTAAAAGAAAAGCTTGTCACAATTTATTAAACTGATTTGACAACCACCTACAATTTAAAAAACTGCAATACTAGAGCACTTTTCTAGGACAGAGTATATCCAGGGCTGATACATCTTAATACAAGCAGTTCCCAACTAAGGAGCAGAATCATTCCAACCAACGCTCATGTATTACTTGGTTATTTGAAATTTGAAACATTTCCTGTGAAACAAGGTGGTTGGGAAGGGAAGGAACATTTACTGAGTATCTATTATATACATTACCTTGTTTATTTCTCAACAAGTGATCCTGAGAGGAAGAAAATACTATTCCATTACATAGATGGGAAAAGTGAGGCTTGGAGAGGTTAATAACTTACCCAGCATAGTAGAATTGGTATTTGACCCCAGGTCATTTGACTCCAAAAACTGCTCTTTCTAGCAAACTACAGCACTTCCTTAGGTTTATGATGACAGCTCACTCCAACCCCTTACTCCTCCAAAAAACGAAACCAAAAAATCTCCATTCAACCTAAATTCAACAGGACACCACAGAACCTAATTACCATTTATGGGGACAATCTGTGTAGAGATTATCCTTAATTATAACTTGGGGTCTCCCAAAAATACATTCTCGGCGGTGGTAGAAAGTTTCTCACCCCATTAACATCCCAGTTTACTCCTAAAACAAGCCACAGCAATGGGAACAGAATTCTCGGTGACTTCAGAGGCAGCAGAGAGACACAGAGATGGGGACTGCGTGAGCTGCCCCAGCACCAGTTGGGAGAACGCAGGCATTTCCAGCGTGGAAAGTGAAGGGGATGGCAGCGTTTGGCTCTTTTGCCATAACTAAGTGATCTGCCTCATGTCCATACATATTCTGCTTTCTGACATCCTCTCCCCCTACTCCCAAGGAATATCTGGAAATGAAATATCCCGAGAGAACAGTCTCTCCTTTTGCTCAGCATTAAAATAACTCCATTGCTAGAGTTGAAGTATGAGCCACCATTACTGAAGCAACTGTCGGCTGCAGAAACAACTTTACATTTCCACACCTAAAGATGGCAGGTGGATGGGTCCAGTTTGAATATTCCCAACATAAACCTGTTTCTAGGCCTGACAAAGTAGCCCCCAAAACGAAAAACCCAAAGTTCCCACACCCCCCTCTCCCTGCTGGTGCAAGCCTGCTAGCCGTCCACATTCACAAGGTGAGAGGACTCCGAGCTGCAAGCCTCTAACCCTGAGCAGGGCGCCCCTAGGAGTACAAGGTCACGTATTTATACCTGTGTGGCTAACAGCTTAGGCTCTGTAGGGTCTGCAGAGCTTCAGGCCCAGGAAGAACGAAAACCGGCAGCAGCCACGATCTCTCTTCTCTCCTCTCCTGTCCACGCACCTCCTGAAGGAGAAGGGTTCCCTGTGCTCGCCTCAACGTTTCTTCCCTATTACATTCCTTCTGACTACATGTTCTACGTCTAGGCACCCCCAAACTAAATTACGAGCAAACGAACATTTTATTAGTATTTTATTTGTGTTTTTGGAGAAGATTTACAGTTTCACAAGAAAGACTGATTTTTCTCAAATAATAGAAAAAGGTGAAAAAAAAAAAAAGGGTCTATTGTCTTAGAAGAATAAAACAAGTGTCTTCAGCAAGCACTGGGCCAATTCAGATTGGAGACACCAGTGAAGCAGAAGTTACATGTAGGGAGTTCAGATTTATCCAGTTTTAGGAATAACACAAATGTCTTCCTGTCTAGTTCTGTAAGGCTCCAAATGGGCCACCTCAGCTTAAAACTGGTAACAAGCTCACAAGGCCTCCAGGGTCCCGTCTCGTTTGGCCACAGGGGTGGCTCACTCTCTGGGAGGCTGCATCTGTTTACAGAACTCATCGAACTGCTGCTGCTCCAGTTCCGTCATGACTCTGTTGAGGGCATAGATCTGCATGGGAGAAGAAGACACGTTAGCAGTGGAGGCAGCTGCTCCACACATCTTCAGACACAACAGGCTGGGTCTTCTGAAAATCCCAGAACTGCACCAGTGACGCAGGGACAGTGACGAGGGAACAGGAGAGCTGGACATTAATCCTATTTGGGGAATCAGCAAAGCAGTGAGGCAGGGGGCTTGATCTGAACTTTAAAGGATCAGTAGGATTTGAACAGGTAGAGACTGGGGAAGGGACATGATAAGCGATGGGGGACGGGGCAGATTACCATTAAATAAATATGATGAAAAGTACAGGATCAGTTCTGGAAACTTCAAGTGTGCTAATATGAAGGATATTATAGAGTGGGGGCTGAGGAGCTGGAGAAAGCAAGAAAAGTATGCTGGGGTCTTAGATGCTATGCCAAGGAATCTGGACTTTATCTGGCTGACTCTGGAGAGCCAGCAAAGACAAGTGTGCAGGGGAGCAACTTGATTCTATCTGTGCTTTGGGAAAGATAACTGGAGACTGTGTGCGGGATGCAGTGTGGGGAGCAGAGATTAAAGGTCACTTAGGAAGCGTCTATTACAGCAGTCCAGGGAGGAGGTAGCGGGGAGACGGCCTAGGCAGCCATTAGGGTGGAAGGAAACTGCAAGAGACATGCTAAAAGGTGAAAGACAGGGGATCCACCTTATTCTTCACCTTGTAGTAATCAGTCAATCCACTAAGAACAGAAACATCATAAAAATTCCCAATTTGTAGAAGAAAAAAATGAAGGGGTGTGTTTATGTGTAGGGGATATAACTTGATTAATTAAAAAGAAGAGAAGGGGAAAAAAAAAGAAACTGAGAAGTGAGACAAATAGGAAATACAAAATAAGAGCAGAAATTAATGAAAAAGCAACCAAACGTACAATAGAGAGGATCACCACGACTGTGAGATGGTTCTTGGAAAATACTAAGAAAACCCTGCAAACCTCTGACATGACTGATCAAGATCAAAGGGAGGAGGCACAGAGAAACATTATTAGAATTAAAAAGAAAACACAATTACTGATATAATGGCGATTAAAACAAAACAGGAACTTTGTGTCAATAAGTTTGAAAACTTAAATAAATTCCTAGAAAAAGTAAAAGGATCAAAACTGACTAGAATAAATAGAAAGCTTGAATGATTCTATAACCATTTTTTCCTTTTTTTTTTTTTTTTTGCTGAGGAAGATTAGTCCTGAGCTAACATCTGTTGCCAATCTTCCTCTCTTTTGGCTTGAGGCAGATTAGCTCTGAGCTAACATCTGTGCCCATCTTCCTTTATTTTATATGTGGGTCCCTGCCTCAGCATGGCTGACGAGTGGTGGAGGTCTGTGCCCAGGATCTGAACCTGTGAACCCAGGCCACTGAAGTGGAGTGTGCCGAACTTAACCACTAGGCCAGGGGGCTGGTCCCTCCAAAAATTTCTTTTATTGTGGTAAGATCCTATCATCTTTAACGAAAATGAAATTCTACACAGTGATGAAAATAGTTACAAATGACAACACAAGTGATTCTCAGAAAGCATAATACTGGCAGTTAAAATGGTTAAGTTTTATGTTATGTATGTTTTACCACAATAAAAAGAAATAAATAAATTTGAATGGTTAAAAAAAGATGCTAAGTGAAGAGAGCCAGTCACAAAATATAGCAATACATATAAAGTTCAGAAACACCAAAACTAGACAATATATTGCTGTGTCACAAAATATTCTTTAGGGGTACACACAGAAATAGTAAATTAATACAGAAGAGCAAGGGAGTGATTAGCATAAAATTAAGGAACAAGGCTACTGCTAGTGGGAAGGGCTGGGGGCATGACCCGAGTGGGGCCCGAGGAGTTTCTAAGTTATGGGTTACGTTCTGCTTCTTTAGTTGGGTGTTAGGTACAAGGGTGTTTGTTTTATTCATCTTCTTTAACCTGCACATACATATTACATGTATACTTTTAACATTTATATATTTTTTAAAACCTCTGCCTCATTCCTTCATGCTTTAACGAACATTTGTAATCTACATATTACTGTGGTGGGACTGCGAGGATATTAAATACCTTCTCAGACCTCGGGATCAAGGAGGCAAGATGGTAGGAGAAAGGGCAAACTAAAATCAGCAGAGAAAAAGACGCAAATGGGTTAGGGGTCTGAGCCAAGGAATGACGGACTGTCAGGAAGGAAAGGGCCCCACCAGTGTCAAACGCTGCCTCAACTGCCCAACGTGCCTCTGCCCCCATTCGCCCCTCACATCTCTCCTTCACATCCAACTTTCCGGAATGTGGCATCTTTGCAGAACTGAATGGAAACGGTGCCCCTTCCTCCCCTAAGGGGCCTTGTCACATTCCTCCGTTAGGAGACTGCGTTCCAGGCCACACACTGAAGAAAACAGCGGGGCAGCTGCGGGGCGGAGCAAACAAGCAGGGGCAGAGGTCGGAAGGCCCTCGGCTCCCCATTAACGAGGGTTCTGGTCACGTCACCTCACTGTAAAACAAGGATAACACCTTCTCTCTCACAAAGTCGTGTGTTTTATATCTCCCCACCATATTCCAGGAAGGATTTACAGAGGTCAAAATGGGAGTAACAGTAATACCTGAGTAACAATAAGAAGCCCTGGGGTGAGGATGACATGTGGTCGTGCACGTCAGGTTGGCCCTGTGCCTGGCACATCTGAAGAGCTCAACAAGTGCCAGCTGCTGCGAGAGTGCAAATCCAGTATTGCACTACCGCCAGTGAGCACAGACGCCAGCAGTCGTTCAGCTCAGAGTCCACACAACAAAAGCACGCTGACCGCCGGAAGCCCAGTGAGGCCCGAGGACAAGCGCAGCCATTTCCTGAGTGCTCGCTCCGTGCCAGGCCTCTGCTAAGTGCTTTACATACAGCATTTCTGTTCCTTACAACAATCTTGTGCCGTAGAGATTAGCATCCTCATTTTACCAAGGAGGAATCGAGGAAGTGAGGTTCAGAGAGGTTAAGTATCTTGTCCCAGGTCACATGGGAAGAACCAGGATTTATGGAGGAGCTGGGATTTGAAGGCAGACAAGTAAATGTAACCTGTGGAACCTCACCCAAAGGGCAGCAATAAGGACGTGAGCAATGTCCCCAAAAACAGCTGTCCCCAAAGTGTGCACAAAGGAGTGTCCTCGGGCTGCTTCTTACACCAGCCCCAGACAGCTCACCCAAGTGCCGTGCAGGAAAGTCACCTGTGGGCCTGGATCCGGGGGGACGGGAGGTGAAGGAGACGGAAGAACATTGTTGGAATCCAGGCGCACAGCTCTCAGACGGTCTGTCTTAATCCACAGGCAGATTTCAGCTTATAGATTAACTTCAAACACACTATTAAATTTACTTACTACGTTTACTGTCTGCCCCCTCACTGAACACAGCTCCACAAAGGCAGGGATTCTTCTCTGCCTTGTTGTGTATCTCCAGTTCCCACAACAGTGCCTGGCACACAGGAGCCGCTCAATATATATATATATTTTTTAATTCTTTTTTTTTTTCCCCAAAGCCCCAGTAGATAGTTGTATGTCATAGCTGCACATCCTTCTAGTTGCTGTATGTGGGACGCGGCCCCAGCATGGCCGGAGAAGCGGCGCGTCGGTGTGCGCCCGGGATCGGAATCCGCCGGTAGCACAGCGCGTGCAGTTAACCGCTAAGCCATGGGGCCGGCCCTCAATATTTGTTTAATGAAGGGATCAAACTAACAGAAACTTAGTCTGACACTACCAAGTGTCAAAGAAGTGGAAAAGAAGCGACGAATGAGAACTCTCTTACATTGTTAATGGGGGTGCAAATTTGTACAATCTCTCTGAAAGCAATTTGGCAACGTTTAGCAAAACTGAAAGGTACCAGTAATTCTACTTCTAGTTACGTACGCCCTACAGAAATTCTAGCACAAGTGCCAAAGCAGACACCTAAAAGTTTTTCACTAAAGCAATGTTTGTAACAGCAAAAAAACTATAAATAATTTAAATGTCCATCACTGGAGGAATGGGTTAATATACTAAAGTGGATTCATAAAACAGACTACTGTAAGCAGTGTGAGGAATACACTAGATTCTTATATCAACCTGAATAGTTCTAAGAAACATAATGTAAGCAACATGCAAAATAAAACATATGGAATTTTATTATTTGAAAAATTTAAAACACAAAAGAACATTGTATATTGTTCAAAGATATCTATTAATATATTTGAGTATAAAAAAATAACAGTGGTCGCCCATAGGGAGGGGTAAAAGGGTGTAAGACAGGAAATGGGCAAAGGGTCTTCAAATTTATATGTATTTTTTATTTATCTTATTTAAAAAAGACTCCAGGCAAGTGTGACAAAATGTTAACCAATACCAATCTGGGGTGCTGAGTACCCAAGTATTTGTTATAATGGTCTATTTTTCAATTTCTCAAAAAAAAAAAAAAGAAATGAACAAAAGGAACAGAAAGAGGGAAAAGAGTGTAGCAAGCTTTTTCCTGATATTAAATACTAAAATAAAATACCCACGTCTGGATGTGGTTCAACATGGGCAGTGTAAACGGCTTAAGCTTTTCATTCTCAAGTTGATTTTAGAACAAGGGAACACAGGGGCGGGTGTGCGGCGTGGGCCTCTCCTCGCGGAGTGCGAGCAGCCGCTCTCCGGGGGAAGTCCAGAACATGCGTGCTAGGGGCGTCTGACACCTGCTCTCTCACTCTGACCCTGCTCTTTCTCCTCTCCTCCTTCCCTCAGGTCCCTCCCGCAAAAGCGCCGCACCAGGAGTCCTCTGGAGACCTGGGACCGGCCGTGGCTCTGGCACTAACTGGCACGTGACTCTGGGGTGCCACTTTACCATTGCGGACCTCAGTGATCCCCTCTCTAAACCTGGAAGAACCTGGTCCGCCTGGAGGCCGGCAGGGCTCCGCGTCACAGTTCTCCTCTACTATTTCTCTCTTCCAGCATCACCTCCGGCAGCCTGCAGGCCCTGCCTTCATCTCACCTCTGCTCGTTGTCTTTGCTTCAGCTCCTGCTGGGCTGATTTCTGCTTGGCCTTCTCAACTCTGCTGACAGGTTCTTTAACTTTGGATTTTTCTTTACGTGCGGGTGGATCCATGACTTGGCTTCTGAATACGTCTTAGTCAGCTCTGACCTGGATGGTACAGAAAGAGACTGATCTCAAAAAAAAGAAAAAAAGAAAGAAAAGAAAAAGAACTGTCGGTCACTCGCCTAACTCAGCCCCTTCCTTTGACAGATGAGGCAGAGTGGGCCAGTGGAAAGGGCGCTAGATTTGGAGGAGTAAGATCCGAGTTCCACCGCCACATCTCGGGGCGTCCCTGGGCAAATCTCCTCCCCACTCTGAGCCTCAGTTTTCTGTGTCCGTAAAATGGGACAATAGTCCATTCCCTGGCCTCCTGCAAGAGCTGCCGTGAGGACCAAATGAGAGGACCCATGTGGACACGTTTCATGCACTGCAGCGTGCTGAACCCCGCGTGGGGCTGTACGATCATGAGGACACCCGGGCCCAGGGGGACGGGCCAGCCGACGTCTCCAAGCCGGGCAGCGGGGCGGCCCGAGCCTCGCTCCCTTCCGGGCCTTCGGGCCACGGCTTCCCCACCACCGCCCTGTCGGACAGTAACGTCCCCGCTCGGCCGCCCGCGCGAGGCC